GCTAATCTTATGAAAATTGAATCACCGAGCTTCTCATAGTGATATCAGGTGTTTTCTTGTACCATGTACAGTGATAAAAAATTTTAAAAGTTAAATTATATTTAAAATGAAATTCATAAGTGTTATATAAAATGGACTTCTGATTCACCATATGTGTTTGCAATAGGTCTTCTTTTTTTTCTTTTTTTTTGTTAAGAAACTAGAGTCATCATTTTTTTAAACAGATAAATACTAGGTGATTTTTCCGTGCTCATGCACGGATATAAATATTTATTAATGTAAATATAATATAGTAATTGATTGCTATTTACTTTTAATTTAAAATTAATTTATAATTAACATACATGATTTATATTAATAATATTACATTACTTTAATTAGACAAATTATTTTTAAAATGTTATATCTAGTCAATTTTATTATTTTTATAGTCGATTTAGCTATTATTATTTAGGTATATTAGATTACATTTGAATTCAACTATAATATTTTTATTCTAAATATATGAAAATTTGATTATTTTTATTATTTTCTTTTAGGTTGTTTATTGTCTTAGATATTTAAATATATTTTAGAAAAATTATTTATAATTTAAGTTATATTATGCTTATAATGAAATAAAAAATAAACTAAAGTGTTTGATTTCAAATTACATCAGTTGATATAAAGAAAATCTTTGAAGTCTCATGCATATATATAAATTTAACAAAATAACCAATTTGTAACAGTTAGTTAATACATTATTTTCATTTGTTAATATGTTTTGCGTCATCCTATAATTTGTATTTATAAAATAAATTATTATTATTAGAAAATTATATATTCTTATTATAGTTAAATCAATAATTTTAGATATAAGTTGGATTAGTCGAACCACTCATATTGTGTGTATATTGAGTTAAATTATAACTAAATAATTAATATTATTTATCATTTAAATGTGCATGTATTTTCATAATATTTATCAAATTATATGTTTCTTTAAAAATATTAGAAAATAAAGCAATGATCAGTAGGAAGTTACATACATAAGTAACTGATATATTTTTGGAGATTAATGAACACATATCAATATTTACAATAACTACAATATTTCATAAATTCTAAATAATTTTATGTCTTAGATTTATTGAATGGTAAACTGAAATTATAAATAATCTAAAAAATGAGAATTCAGATTTTCTTAGGTATTTTTATTATGGTTATACTAAGTTCCACAAACATAAAAACATAAAATTTAAAAACAAATTTAATATTAAGAAAACGTATAATTTTAATAACGATAGGATATAACATATCTATCTCGTTAAAGTATATAGTGGTAGGATATTTTAAAATATTTGGTAATTATTTGATCAAAAGATTTTTATTGTTAAAAAAAATTAAATTTTTAATCTCTCTTAAAAATAAGCAGTAAAAAATTTAGGTTGTATTTGAAAAATCATATTATATAAGTAAAAATTCATTTGTAGATATTTTTTATTTAGTTGAAATTATTATAGTCAACTAAATATGTGAAAATAAATGAAATATTTAATAATTTAAATTAAAAACTATTTTAGTCAATAAAAACATATACCTGTTTATGTTACTTAAAATTATGTTTAAAAGAAATAAAATTTATTTTTCCAATCTCTATAATATTATAAGAAAATATAGATATAAAGAAAGTATTTTATTAATTCAAAATTATATTTTATGTTATTGAAAATATTTTTAATGGATGTTACTATTTTTTGTGATCAATGGTTTAAATTTTTATTATAATAAGATACAAATATTTATAAAATACATAAATAAGACGTCTTATTTAATATGTTTATATTAATACCTATATATATAATTTAAATTAAATTACATACCATATAAAATACATACTTATATTTGATATTTTTATTGAAAAATATTGAGAATCTAATATTTTAATTTTAAAATTTGCATTCAATTTTTAATAGTTCAAAATTTTGTTATAAAATATATTGATAATCATAAAACCTTATAATGAGAAAATTCATTTACTAAAAATTCATATTTAAAATATATTATAGATATTGTTAATGTCATTTAAATTTAATTATATCTAATATATGATGGATAAAATGATTTGTTGATTTAGTTGCCATAAAATGATTGTTAATAAATAAAAATAATCGTTTGATTTAAATGCACACACCAAATCCTCTAAAAAGTAATTAAGGATCATTTAAAAAGTTATAACCTTAATTTTGTACTAATTAAAAAATCCTATTTTATATCGCAGTTCTCTATGAAATTCTAATTTAGAAGAATTCTAGAACACCTCATATAAAACATAGTTTTAAAACAAAGCTCGCTGGTGTCATATAAGACATATCGAACTAAATAACATATCAAACTAAATCTCCTATATATTATTTCCTTAAATAAAACTTACGGAATTACCTAATGTGATTAAGATATATATGACTATTAATAATTTTAAATAATAAGTTTTTTTAACATTCTGTATACTTTAAATCATTTTTGTTTGATTTTTTATTATTAAAATAAATTACACAACTACACTAATCAGATAATAAAAATTTATAATTTTTTATATATGTTGTATTTTGAAATTTAAAAAAGAAGTATAAATTATGAAAACTGTTAAAAATATCATATAAACTTTTGTGATCAAGGTCTAAATTTTTTTCTATGATAAGTTACAATGCTTATAAAATCATATGAATAAATAATTTTATTTAAATAGGTGTTTATGTTAATATATGTATATATCTCATATCGTAATAAATAATTTTATTTTAAACATAATTATAATTTAAAATTTAGCTTAATTTTTTATAAAATTAATTTTATTTAAAAATTAATTTTTTTAAAATATAATTTTCTTATATTATTAGACAACTAATTAAATTATATTAAATTAGTTTTGAAACTTTATATATTCTAAATGTGAATATTCTACCAACTGGTTCTTAAGAAAGCATTAAGGAACTTGATAATTCTCTACCAGTTAAGCCATGTGACAATCCGTTTATTTTCCATCTCTCGAACACTTCGAAAAGTGAAAATATATATGAACCGGATCCATTAAATTATAAATTTTAATCTACAGTTCTAATTACAATTGTTTCTTATCCTACGTATAGATAATTATATAAAAATTTCAAAATTCTAAATACATATAAAAACAATCATATGTAAATTTTAAATTTGTGAATACTAAAATCTTATATTTTAATTACATACACTCACCCTTCGTAAGCCGCAAGTCTTATCCTAGTGATTTATTATAAGGAGATAAAAAGTGAAAATAAGCGTTGCACAAATGTTGTGTAATTATTTTTATATACTATAGTTCCCTGAAAAATGACAAATCCATCAAAAGATGATACTCGTATTAGAAATATGAGGAATTATAAAAACAAAAGGAAACAAAATGTATGCCTATGTATATTTATGGTTATTATATTATGATTTTTTTAAAAAATTTACCTGAAATTTTAGCAAAACAATTATTTTATTTTTTGGTGATAAATTTATAAAAACGCATTGTTCCTTTGAAACTTCGCATTCAGAATTTTTTTATTTTGTTTTATTTCACAATTTTGCATTCTATAAATATATTAATCTTTGTTTCAATTTTGTAAACTAAAAATTTTCATTTTGTAAATATCATTATTTTCATTCTGAAAATTTATAAATAATTTTTATTTTCAAATTATATTAGTATTATCCTTGTTACTTCCTTCAACCGCGAGGGTCAGAATTTAAAATATTTAAGAGAACAAGTTGACACCAGTGGCTCCCCGTTAAGGAGAGGGGGTCAAGTGATCCACATGAATTTATAAAAAAATTAGTTTTTAGACACTAACTCCCTTTTTGACCCATATGTCTTGAGTTCAAGTCTCATTAGCATACCTTTTAACTTATCTAGAAGAATTATGACCCATGTGAAGTTCAATTCTAGCTCCACCACTGGTTGACACAAGTGTTACTTTTTAACTTTAGAAAAATGAAAGACGTTGTGACATTTGTGGAGACACTAACGTATACAATCTTTAATCTTTAATATAAATAAAGGAAATTTGATTCCCTTGACTATGATTCGAATATGTTAATGATTTTAGTCATAGTGAGGCATTGACTAAATAAAACAAGAATATACCTTATTGGATTACATTTTATATATAAGCAAATGCAAAAATATTATGAATAAGATTTAAAACAAACTAATTAACATAATATCTAATTAACTTATTAAATATAAATTCAAGCCTACATATCCAAATTGAAATATTTGTTAAGTTTTATAAACTTTTTAAGTCATTCATTTTGAATATCTATTTTCATTTAAAATAACCCCGATTTTGGTAAACGAATATATCGTTTAAAGTGTTTACGGTGACAATTTCACCTTGTCCAAAACCAATTAATTACAACAGATCCACTCTGAAAACCAATGGAGTTTCAAATGCGTCCATCACTATCTATATTAATGGTATCTCCAATTTGTCATCTGACTGTAATTATCGTTTTGTAAATGTACCCATCGTTTGGATGTTGATAGGTTTACAAAATATGCTAGAAGTCATAATAGAAACTAGGTAATCAAATGGACTGATTTGATATAGTTTAGTGAAATAAAATACTTGGCCGAACAAAAAAAAAAATCAATAAGTGGTTAGTTAGTGGGGTTGTCACATTAGTTGTTTATGATTATTGGTGTAGACTTGGATATTGGTGTAGAGTATATTAACTCATCTCATGTTAATATAATCTATTAGATGACAATCAAAATTAAATTATGTCCACAAGTGGTTATATAATCTGGCTGTTGTACCTTATACTCAAAGTGGTCTTTATTATTAATGTTTAGGATTATTGGTGTAGAGTTATTGGTCTTCGCTGGTGACTTTTCTCCCAAGTCAATAAAAATTATTGGTGTTTCCTCTTTCTCTTGTTCATTAATCAAAACAGTGAGTTTTGGTTTTGGTTTCTTTCTGAAAGTTTGAGCAAAGATGGGAGGCTGTGTAGCACTAAATTTCGCATGTGATCAAGCAGTGAATCAAACCTGCAGCTGCTTATTTGGTAATAGAAATTACATTTATAAGATGAAGGCTAATCTCAAGGCTCTGGATACAGCTATGCAAAAACTTGAAGAAAGGCGAGATGATCTGTTAATAAGAGTTTCCATAGAAGAAGGTAGAGGTTTGGAGCGGCTTGCTCAAGTTCAAGGATGGTTGTCAAGGGTAGCAAGTATTGACTCTCAGGTCAGTGATCTGCTTAAGGTTAAACCAACTGAAATAAAAAGATTGTGTATTTTTGGATATGTTTCCAAAAAATGCATATCAAGCTGTAAGTATGGTAAAGACGTATGGAAGAAGCTGGAAGAAGTTAGAGAGCTTCTATCTGAAGGGGTTTTTGAAGAGTTGGCCAGAAAAAGACCTGCACCAAAGGTGGGGAAGAAACATATCCAAGCAACAATAGGTTTGGATTCAATGGTTGGAAAGGCATGGGAGAGCATCATGAAAACTGAAGGAAGAACTTTGGGTATTTATGGGATGGGGGGAGTTGGAAAAACAACCCTCTTAACTAGAATCTACAACAAATTCATGGAAGAGGTGAATGAATTTGATGTTGTGATATGGGTTGTGGTCTCCAAAGATTTGCAATACAAGAGCATCCAGAATCAGATTCTAGGAAGATTACGTGTTGACAAGGAATGGGAAAAGGAAACAGAGGAGGAGAAAGCATTTTCCATAGACAAAATCCTAGGAACAAAGAAATTTATAGTGCTGTTAGATGATCTGTGGAGCGAGGTAGATTTGGACAAGATTGGAGTTCCACGTCCAACTCAAGAAAATGGATCAAAGATAGCTTTCACCACTCGCTCAAAGGAAGTTTGCAGATACATGGAAGCTGATGATGAGCTAAAAATTAATTGTTTGTCAAGGAATGAAGCGTGGGAACTGTTTCAAAATGTAGTTGGACAAGTCTCATTAAAGCGGCATCCAGATATTCCCACACTTGCAAAAAAAATTTCTGAAAAATGTTATGGCTTGCCACTTGCACTCAATGTGATTGGGAAAGCCATGTCATGTAAAGAGGATGTACATGAATGGCGTCATGCAATTGATGTTCTCAATACGTCTAGCCACGAGTTTCCAGGTATGGAAGATAAGCTTCTTTCAATTTTGAAGTTCAGCTATGATGGTTTAAAGGACGAAAAGGTGAAATCATGCTTCCTGTATTGTTCTTTGTTCCCGGAAGATTATGAAATAAAGAAGGAGGAGTTGATAGAGTATTGGATCAACGAAGGATTTATAAATGGAAAGAGAGATGAAGATGGAAGTAACAACCAAGGCCATGTTATAATTGGCTCATTAGTTCGTGCGCATCTATTGATGGAGTTGGAAAAAGAATTCACACCCGCTGTGAAAATGCATGATGTGCTACGTGAAATGGCTCTTTGGGTAGGGTCTACGTTTGGAAAAGAGGAAGAGAAACAGTGCGTCATATCCGGTGTGAAGCTAAGCCTTATACCAAAGGACGACGACATCAACTGGTCAGTTTTGAGAAGGATCTCGTTGATGAGTAATCAAATTGTAAAGATGACATCTTACTGTCCCAAATGCCCCAACCTTTCGACTCTATTTCTCGGGGATAACAAGTTGGAGGGTATACCGGGTGGATTCTTTCAGTTTATGCCAGCACTTGTCGTCTTGGATCTTTCCCGTAACCGCGACCTTAGTGAATTGCCGGAAGGAATTCGCAGCTTGACTTCCTTACAATACCTCAATTTATCATACACAGGTATAAGTTCGTTATCATCAGTAACTGGTTTGAAGGGGTTGAGGAAACTAATAAGCCTGGACGTGGAGTTTACCAGGCTTGAAAGCATTGATGGGATAGGAACAAGCTTACCAAATCTTCAGGTGCTGAAACTTTTTCATTCTAGTGTTATTATTGATGCAAGTTCAATTGGAGAGCTTCAACTTTTAGAGCACTTGAAGATTTTAACAGGAAACGTGATAGATGCTTTAGTTTTGGAAAGTATCCAAAGAGTGGAGCGACTGGCGAGTTGTGTTCAACGCCTTTGGATTATCAATTTGTCCGCCAAGGTTTTGACATTGAACACGGTAGCTCTGGGTGGTCTTCGAGAACTTGATATTGAGTTGTCCGGAATCTCAGAGATAAAGATAGACAAGGAAGATCTTCTATGTAACACTTGTCCATGCTTCAAGCATCTCTCAAGTATTTCTTTACGCAGTTTGGAAGGTCCAACAGAATTGACCTGGTTATTGTTTGCTCCAAATCTCAAGCATCTAGAGGTGGCATATTCAGGAAGCCTGGAAGAAATAATAAATCAGGAGAAACGAATGCGTATTGGCAATGTACATCCTGATATGATGGTTCCCTTTCAGAAGCTAGAATCCCTCAGTTTAAGGGGTTTGGATGAATTAAAGAGAATATGCTCAAATCCTCCTCCTCCCACTCTTCCATCCCTGAAAAAAATTGTTGTCGAACACTGTCGAAAGCTCCCCAAAGCTGCCACAGAGAGTTTCCGAGACATGAACAGGAATAATGAAGTTGATGAATGAGGCTCCCAAGCCCCCATTGCATATGTCATGTGTGTGTGTGAGTGTATCCTTTCAGTTCTTCTTTTACTTGAATGGCATTGTTGTCAAATTTGTATTTCTTAAACCTGGAAACTTTTCATTGTTTTCAAAGTTGTATTTCTTAAACCTGGAAACTTTTTGTTGTTGCATTTCCACTTCTTTCCAGTTTGTATCCATCTGATACATTTTCCTCAAAGCTTTAATTTGTGTCTGTCTTCCAATCATGTATCTCTAACGCAAAACCTCATTGTTAATTGTAAGAAAGGGACAGTGGCTGAGCATTCCTCTTCTTCAGTTGCTGCAGCGGGTGTAGATAAGAGCATGTCCATCAATAAAAACCTTTTAGGAGCTCTAATCTATAAATTAGTAATATATATAGTGATTTGATATATTTAAAACTTTTGTTTATCTAATTTATATTTTTCTCGTCTTTGAAGTTCTTACAGTTTTTTTTTTTAAGTAAAATGATTGGATTTCATCTTATAAAAAGCATACATAAAAAAATTAATAAAAATGACATCAAAACATATTAAAATATACAAATACCAATTGTAAATGAGAAAAAGCCGAACCAAATGAAAACAAAATAACACAACCAATAGCAGAACTTGGATGTATGTAATGTCCTCACCTTTCGAACTCACTCAAATTTGTCTGGATCAAAACAGTCATATGTTCCTGTTTCATAGCCAGAAGTAAAAAAACCTCAACAAAAAGTTTTACTCTTATTATTATTCAAGGAAACAAAAAAGAGTTATCACTTCTCAACAAAAGACTTGACATCCTTGAGCCATTGAAGATACTCTCTACTGTCTTTGTTGGCCACGTAATCAGAGAGAAAGTCAGTGAAGCTCGGCTTGATCCCTCTGATCTCTAAGAACCTGTGGAAAGCCTTCTGCAGATTCTCATCCAAGTCACTGCATAACACCCAAAAAGTCAAATCACATAACGTCCACCACAGAACAAGACAACATGTTAAAGCTTACTTGAGAGTAAGTGTCTGATGAAAGAGAGAAGCAAGTGTCTGATGAAAGCATATCCAGAAAACATACTTTTCAGGCAAAGACTCCAACACCAAAGGCTAAACCGCTTGATACTAGAGGATGAGATGCTACTTTTACAACCATCTGCATACAAACATTGAATCATCACATGACGATAAGATAACAACAACGAGAGCAAATCAAAGCACTGAGTGTAGAAACAGACCTTTGATCTTAGCAAATATGCTCGTAAACGTTATACTCTCACCTGCGAATAATATGCAACCTATAAACTTAACTAACTAAATTTGATATCTTTGAGAAAACTAGTCAACAGTGCTTCAATGAGAAGACTTAATCATGTAGGAACAGAGGCGTATCTAAAATTCAAGAATCCAACAGTAGTATCAAAAACTAAAGGCACGTGAGACTTGAATTCTTTAGATTACCTTCAAGCTGATTGAACTTAATGCTTCTCTCCAAAACCCCAACAGATTGTGATCGTTGAGAGAAGTATCCGAGTTTGGCATCATACAATGCTCTGTGTATGAAATCTCGAACCTGATTCCGTGTTATCAAAAACAGTCTAGTGGGATGATCAACCCTGCTTGTCCCTGCGTTTCATAGTGGTGCTTCACATAGTTGTATAGCTGTTGATGGAATGGATGAGAGGTGAAGTCCATAATCTACAATAACCAAAAGATTTTAAAATTATAGCATCTCACATCAATATCATAAGGAAAGCAATGCATATATACCTTCAATAACTCATCCTTTCCGCAACCAGATAACACATTACCTTTCTCCGTTGTCCTCTCATGTAAAAGAGGTTTTACAACCTGATATGAAATACACACATACATGAAAGTTTTAACCCTGTCATGTCTAGAACCTTAACGCAGGTGGTGATTGGCTGCCCATTCTTCTTAGACATAGAAGGCTGTGACATTGTTTTACACATTACAGCAAGAAAGAAACCGAAAAGAAAAGTTTAGCTAATTGATATGTAATAGTACACGGTCTCTGTATTCATTGATTTGGATGTGGGATTGGACATATATAGTAGTGAACCTGCATGTGGACGAAGGGAAGCATATTTCATTTATGTTTCTCATTGTGAAACTTGTGAAAACTAGGATAAGGAAGCATCTTACTGAAGCTTTGTTGAATGTGCTGACGCCAACGCCAATAGCAAACACAGGATTTGTCGACAAAGACAAACCAGCTCATGTGTGTAAACTCAACAAAGCCCTATATGGCTTAAAACAAGTCCCACGTGTCTGGTACACAGAGTTAAAAAACATATCTTCTCAGCTGTGACTTCAAAAACTTTGTAGCTGATGCGTCTCTGTTCTTTTTACATGATCGCGGGATCGTCATCTTCATCCTTATCTACGTAGACGACATTGTGGTCACTGGTAACTCTCTCTCAAGAATACGTGACATTATCAGGACCATGTCTCAGAGATTCTCACTAAAAGACCTTGACGACTTGGGATACTCCCTAGGCATTGAGGTATTGCGCACATTCCAGGGATCACAAAGGAAATACATTGCTGATCTCCTTCACCGCACCAATATGACACACTCTAAGCCACTTCCAACTCTCATGAGCTCTTCCACATCACTCTCTATAAGAGATGGCACATCCTTCGGAATAAAGAAACATGGTAGGAAGCCTGCAGTATCTACTTCTCACACGACCTGACATTGCACTAGCTGTCAATATACTTTCTCAGTTCATACATTGGATGGCGGCTAAGAGGGTGCTTGGCTGGCACGTATACCTCTGGTAACAAGGATGATTATACTTCTATTGGTGCATATATTGTCTTTCTTTGGTCAACATCCTATATCTTGGTCGGCAAAGAAACAAACAGGGGTACCAAAATCCGTACTAAAATCGGTAAGGTTCATCAGATTTTTTACCTGAAGCGAGGTGGCTTGACTGGTTCCAAGTCGTATTATTAAAGTTTAATTTCGTTGGATCTTGAGGCTTCTTGTTTCAGAAAAGGAATTCAAACCAGAAAAAAAAAATGAAAATGAAGAAGACGACAAGACAGATGAGACGAAAAAAGAGGAAAATATTTTTTTTTATCTTAATTAAATAATAAGAGAGACATATTTGAATATTTTAAGAGGACTTGAAGCATATGGAGTTTAAAGTATTCTGTTCCCACTTTTCTTTGATTCTCAGACCAAAGTCACGATTTTTCTCCTTATCCGTTTCAGATTCGTGTTTCTGGTCTACTGAATAGGTAGATCTCGAACCATTTCTTGTTATTGGTGTATTCTCACGTTCCTGGGATGCTATGTTTGATCGACGGATCCGATTTAGTTCATTCGACTGATTTTAGATCTGTTTTTTTTGTTTAAAGTCGACATGTTTATGATGTGGGTCACACTTCTGTATCTGTACATGTGTATAGATTGTTAGCTGTTTCCATTCATAACCGTTTATTGCATTTTATTTCTCTGTGTTTTGAGTTAATGTGTTTAAGAGTTTTGGGTTTTTTTTATATGTTGACTGTCCCATTGTTAACTTTGAGGAAGCTATGATAGGTCACTGAATCATCGACTTTCCATTGTGTGATGTAATAATATATGATTTCCTCCTTTGTTCTCGTTTTCAGTTCAGTCAAGAGTTGAAAATGGAAGGAACTGTGTTCACGCCTTGTTTGGAAGGAATGAAGCATGTCAAATCTGAACAAGGCGAGATGCTTACTAAGCCTTTCCTTGATCTCTGCAAGACCCTCTTCCCGGTTATAGGTAACAAAAGGCGAGATGCTCTCTAAATGCTTCTGAGTGGAGATTCTGGCATTTTTTAGATGCATGATTGTTCATTGTTCTTCAGCAATATAAGCTCACGTGTGTATATCTTGTTCTGTTTACTATTTAGTGACTTCATTTTTTTTTTTTGGTTTCTGTTTTCCCAGATAAGTTTGGAGCCGCTATGACTATCGTGAAAGCTGACATTGGTGGCAACATATCGGTAAAGTTTTTCATATGTGACTATGTTAGTTAGATAAGTATATCTATATTATTAAAATTAAAGTACAAAATAAAATTAATTTTATTTTCAAAAAATTTATTATATCTATTTTTTTCTTATTTTAAGTGTTTTATTTTATTTTTACATTTTTTTCATTCTTTCAAACTATTTTATTATTTGTATTTATTACAATGATTCGACGTTGATTATTTTACGTGTTAATCATAATTTTTCACATGTTTGAATGAAATTTTTTCATTAGTACAAGAATTCAAACTGATTCACAAATAATTATTTTTTTCCATTATCAGTTAAACATGTGCATTCTAGTACACAATTGGGTACAAAATCTGTGTTTTTTTTTCTGATATAGAACTTTTTGGATTTTAAAATTTATTAGCATAATATAAGTTTTTTGACGAAATTCTTGACAGACTCTTCCAACTTCCAAGTCCAAATATTGTAGAAACCTAAAAAAGTATCTAAATAATATATGTGAATGTTATTAAATAATTTATATAAAAAAATAAAGACTAATTCTGCGCATGCGCACAGATCAACTCTTGTTTTACATTACGAGTTTTGATAATTTTCTATTTAATAATTGGTTTTGAAGTTTTCCTTTTTGTATGAGTTTACGAGGTTCCTTTTTCTATAGTGTTGTACCCCCTATATAGGAGTTTCATATGATTAATTAGGCTTGGGCAAAATAACCGAAGTCGAATGACCGAACCGAAATCAAATCGAAATATCCGAACTAGAACCAGACAAAAATCCTTAAATATCTGACTGGTTTCTATATTTCTGTATTCGAAATAATCAAACTAAACGGGAACCGAAGGGATACCCAAATATATAAAAATATTAATTATATATACATATAACATAAATAAATATATACTTTTAATTTAAAAATCTATTGAAAGTATCCAAAAATAATTGAAGATAACAATTTATTATAAAGTAACTACCCAAAAGTATTCGGATAGTTTTATCCGAAATATCCAAAATTCGTATATAAATCATTCTAACTATTTGATATTTTAACCTAAGTAATTGATATTTTATCCGAATCCGAACCGGAACTAAATGAGACTAATTTTTTTCTAGGTATTTTGAGGTTCCTAGTTTTACTATCCGAAGTGAACCAAAACCAAAACTTATCTGAAAAGAACCTAACCGAAAATAGCTAAAGTAGTAAATGAATTCTCTAATCCCCTATCCAAACTACCCGAATCCAAAATATCCGAACTACGTAAAATGCCCAGATCTATGCCCTTCCAAACATTAAATCTGTATAAGGGTTTCATATGATTTATATACACCCTTCCGAAAATTAAATTAATCTCTAGAAGAGATCAGATTAAAAGGAAGTAAGGCTTTTTGGGTCATGTCAATTTGGTATGAGAGCCGAACGATCCGATGGGAGATATGCGATGATTTCAAAACAGTTAGCACAAATCATGGAGAGGATGGAGGTCATGAACGCAAAGCTAGATCTTATGCAATCCGGCATAAAAGCTTTGCAGGTAACAACTAAGGAAGATATAGTTATAAAGTATTTTATTACTTCAAAATTATATTTTATGTTATTTAAAATATATTTAAATTAAATATTACTATTTTGTGAACTTTCCACTTTTATGAAACCATATTTATATATACTTATATTTTCGTTTTTAAAGAGTTTTGTAAACTTTATACATGTTTCCTTTTTATATAGTTATTTGGAAAAAAATTAAAAGGAAATAATAATATTTAAATGTATTTTTTAATTCATTAAGGGTATCTATGTAATCAACCATCGCGAGAGTTAACGTGAACGCGACACGTAAGAAACTGACTTCTCAAATAATATTATAGAGATCTCTATAATATTATTTGAGAAGTCAGTTTCTTACGTGTCGCGCTCACGTTAACTCTCGCGATGGTTGATTACATAGATACCCTTAATGAATTATTATTTGAGAAGTCAGTTTCTTACGTGTCGCGCTCACGTTAACTCTCGCGATGGTTGATTACATAGATACCCTTAATGAATTATTAGATTTTAAGATTATTATTAATTTTTTTATTTAGTTTCCTTTTTACCTTTTTCCAAATAACATATATAATAAAAAGGAAATATTTCTAAAATTTTAAAACAAATTTAAAAACGAAAAAATATGTATATAATATGACTTTATTAAAAAGGAAAGTTGACAAAATAGTAATAACCCCATTAATATATATTTTTAAATAGCATAAAATATATTTTCAAAATAATAAAAATATATATGTTCATGACCATTCAAAAATTTATCAGTTACACTATTTTCTAATATTTTTAAGAAATCAAAATATAATTTGATAAATATTATGAAAATACATGTATATTTAAGAGATAAATAAAAATAATTTTATTTAAATTAACTAAAATAAAGAGTAAATAAATATTATGAAAATACATGTATATTTAAGAGATAAATAAAAATAATTTTATTTAAATTAACTAAAATAAAGAGTAAATAAATATTATGAAAATACATGTATATTTAAGCGATAAATAAAAATAATTTGATTTGACTTAACTAAAATAAAAAGTAATTATACTTTAATTTTAATTTTAAAATATATTTAACTCAATATGCTCACAAAATGAATGACTCGACTAATCTAATTTATATCCAAAATTAAACATATAACTACAATAAGAACATATAATTTTAAATAATAATAATAATATTAATAATAATAATATATTTAATTTTATACATATAAATTAGAGGTTGACTCAAAGCATATTAAAAAAAAAAAATATCAACCAATTACAATTTAATTATTTTTTAGAATTTATATATATGCATGAGACTTCAAAATATTATCATTATATTTCTTTATGTAATTTTGAATCAAACACTTCAGTTTATTATTTATTTCATTTTAAGCACAATATATAATAAGTTATACATAATTTAACTATAATATATTTACATATCTAAGACAATAACCAACCGAAATGAAAATAAGAAAATTAATCAAAGTTTTATTACATTTAGAATAAAAAATAGTATAGCTGAATTCGAAAAATAGATATTATCCCATATACCAAATTGATAACCAAACCGACTATTGATCCAAAAAATAATTAAACCAACAATGATATATCTAAAGTCATATGTATAATTAGAATAATATAATATTTATTAATATAAATTATACATATAAATTTATTCAATTAAAACTAAAACTAAATAGCAATTAATTATTATAAAACTTTACTTTTATGAATATTCATACCCGTGCAAGAGCACGTGCAAATCACCTAGTGATTAATAAAATAGAAGCTGATCCAATAAATTAACTTAATCTCTACGAGAGATTAGTTTAAAAGGAATTAAGCTTTTTGGTTCATATAAGATCTCTTCTAGTTTCCATGATTTTGGTAATCGTAGATCACAAATCCATTTAGCATTCATAGTACAAACCATTGATAAAAGTGCATTGTCTCAGTTCTTACTCTTCTGACCTAGTAATGTGTAACTCTGATAGTGTAGAGAAAATGTCCTGTACTGACCTCTGTACATTGGATTGTTGTTTTACAATATAAAATTGTTTGTCCGTCTCTTCTGTAGAGATTGGAGAAGAACTACTTGTCTGATCCAGACAAGTACAAGTACTTGTACACCATTGTTCAAGGTGAAATTGAGTCAGAGACAGCAAAAGGATCGTCTAGTTGTACCAACGGTCTTCTCTGGTTAACCAGGTAAACAATATCGGCATGTAAACACAATACACACTTTTCTTACGAAAATAACTGCTTCTCAGAAACAGACATACAATATTTGATTCTTTCAGAGCAATGGATTTCGTAGTGGAGTTATGCCGCAACTTGGTAGCACATCAAGACTGGTCAATGTCACAAGCTTGTGGTGACTCGTACCAAAAAACACTCAAGAAATGGCACGGATGGCTCGCTAGCTCTACCTCTTCTGTACGAACTTTACTTGCGCCTTTATGTCACTGTTTGAACCACATTTTCTACAAACCTGCCTCATTTTAATTTCCTGATAAATGGTAAACCTTTTCTTTTTATCAGATGGGTTTAAAGCTTGCTCCAGACAGGAAGAAGTTCGTGGAGGTTACAGCTGGTTCTGGTGACATCTATGCCGACATGGAAAGGTTTTACTCTGAGTTTGGTCCGTTCCTTCAAGAAAATCACAAATTTCTGGTAAACATGGACTTTAAAAACCTCAAATTATTGCAGTGTCTTCAGATTTCATCACTAGCTTTGATTCTGTTGTTCTTATTTTTATTTATTCGCAGGCTAGTGTTGGTATGGACGACATGGAAGCGTCTTAAGCCATTCTTTGGATTCTAAAACTTGTAGACCCTCCAAAGAAACATAATGATGTGTCCATTTCTATTAGAATGTTGTTCGCTTTATACTATAAAGTTTATAACTTACGAATTAATCTTCTCAATATTCTTTGTTACGTAAGTGTTTCAAATGTTTGTCAGAGGTTATAAAATATATTAGGTTAAGATCCGCGCTTTATAGTATATTATATATAAATTACTTTTACGTATTATATGCTTTACTTATGATGAAATAATAAATATATTAAATAATTAGAAATTCAGTAACTATTACGTATATTATTAAATTAGAGCAAACACATAAAAAAAATTTAGTAATTCAAACAAACACTTTTTCTATATTATATGGTATAAAATTAAGTTAAATGATACTAATATATATATAGTTCATTTTAATATTGATATCTGTTAAATAATATTATAAACTCATATTGTTTTTTGGTCATTTGTATTTTTTATAACAAAAAGTTTGAATCACTGATAACAAATCTTTTTTGTGGATATTTAATATTTATAGTAATTTATAATTTTAAAAACGTTCGATGCAAAGTTTAAAAACTAAATATTAAGTTGTCAATATTTGTTCAAAATTGTTATTAAAAAAAAAACAAAAAATAATTTCGAAATTAAAATACTTATGTATTTTATTCGGTACATAATTTATTTTAAACAATATTAATATATATATATATATATATATATATTAAATGAGACTTTCTACTTATATAGTTTTGTAATCATTTGTATTTTTTATTACAAAAACTTTAAACCATGGATTACAAAAATTTCAATGTGAGTTTTTAACAACTTTAGTCATTTATAGTTCTTTTAAAAAATTTCAAAATATAACATATACAATATTATTATATATTTAATGTGGTTGTTTAGTTTATTCTAAATAAGTTATTTTTTAAAAAAAAAATGCTAGATAATAAACTTTTTTTTTTATCAAACCTTCCGAATTGCCGCTCAAGAAACAACTTGTTATTAAGTCGTTGTATATGTGAAATGATTTCAGTGGATAGATCGTCAATGAGGTGTAGGTTGACATACATGAAATTCTTGAGCGGTTTTTGTTAGAGCATTTTCAACCCAATTTTAGATTTTCAAATTTTGAGATTTTCTGTCATTCCGACCCAATTTCAAATCTTAAAATTTTGAGGTTCTGAATAGTGAAATCTCAAATTTAAGGTTTTACAATTCAAACCCTCAAAACTATTTGTATTTCCTTTTAGTCTTTACAATTATTATTTTTCATAAATATATATATATATATATTTAAACTTAATTTAAAGTTACTTAAATACACCAAAATAAAGTAAAATATGATAAATACTACATAACATTAAAATAAAGTTCACACAATAGAAAAATATAATAACTAAAGCTAACACAAAGAAAAATACATTAAAAACATAACACAAATTAAAACAAATTACATAAACACTTATGTGAACATTACGAAAATAATACTTGAACAATATGGTATTTTATATATAACTTTCTAAAATTATGTGTATGTGTATTGGTTTATTATATATGTAATTTTATAATCTTTTATTATATAATATTATGAAAATTATGTATTGTATAATATATTAAATATATGTTTATATGTATTTGTACAATTTTATTATTATTATTAGTAACTTTTGTTAATATCAAAGACTATAATGCAAATAAATAAACTTTTAAAGATTTTTTTGAGGATTTATGGTTAGAACAACTTAACTTCAAATCTTCATTTTAAAGTTTTATTCTCCTTAAAATAAAGTTTTGAGTTGGAGATGTTCTTAGAATCAGATTTCATAACATTAAAGACACTTATTCAAGAAAATAATGATACGTGTAAAATAGTGTTCACCTTCTTTAAGGTGCTTTTCAAAATGAGAGAGATGGTGTTATGATGTCATTTTGTTTTCTTTAGGAGTGTTTGGAAATTTCTTAGTGATAGTAATATATATATATATATATATATATATATATATATATATCATTATTTCATTTATTATATTTTTGTCACTTCTAAAATACAAATTGTTTTAATTATGTATTAGACATGGTTTATACTTTTTCATCATTTTCATGTTCATTCTTTAAACTTGAGCTCGCGATCACAAAAGAGGAAAACATACATGTGAATTTTTGTGGTATGGGTATGATAAAATGTGAAACAATTATTATGGTATGGTTTGGTATCATAAATAGATTTTTTTTTATTTTGTGTTCTTATGGTTTTTCGTATTCATTCTTGATGTTTACAATTTCGTTAGATTGTATACTTTTACTAAGTTATATTTTTTACTAAATTATTCACCAAACTAAATTTATATTATGTCTTTTTATTAAATTATTATTGTTTTGTTTGTTATATTTTGTTTCTTTTAATTTTAAAAATAATTTGTAAATCTTTTTTGTTCTTATTTAATAATCCTTGTTATGAATTTATCATTTCCTTTGATTTCTGTTAATTTATCTAAGTTTGAATTTGGTGGCAAAGAAAAAAAACGTATTTCATTAGATTCACTTTTTTTTTGTAACCATAGATTTGATTAAACGTGCAAAAACAATATTGTAATTTTTTTATCTATTTATTATTCAAATTTCAGGTTTTGCATTATATCATATAATTTTCATTAAACTCGTATTTTTGACTAAAATTTTCACCAAACTCAAGTTATACTATGCATTATAATTAATTTTATTGTTTTTTCTGTTTGTTTTACCTGATTCTTTCTAATCTAGGTTTGATTATATATTAATGCTGATTTTTTTTGGATATACGATTAAATTTAGTGGTCAAAAAGAGAAAAAAAATAATAATTCATGAGATTAATTCTTTTTTTTTTACATAAGTTTTGATGAAACGTGAAAAATCAATATCATAAATTTTTATCTCATTCTTCGTTTTTATTTATTTTTTTGCTATTATTTTTTTAAATTAAAGTTTTAAATAATATTAATATATTTCACTAAATTATTATAAGTTAATAAAAAGATTGATGTCAAAAGTTTGGTTGGATTAAATATGAAATATTGATTTAATTATTTATGGATCATTATATGCTTTGTTAATTGATTTGGTTAAAATATTAAGAAAATAAAAACTTTAGGCCAGTTAATTAATTTAACAAACTCAAGTTATACTATGTATTTTAATTAATTTTTAGTGTTTGTTTTACCTGATTCTTTCTACTTGGGTTTGGATTATATATTACTTTTAATGCGATTCCCCATCATTTCCTTTTTGATATAAGATTAATTTGGTGGTCAAAAAGAGAAAAAAATCATTCATGAGATTTTTTTTTCGTTTTGAACTTTTGATGAAACGTGAAAATCAATATCGTAAACTGATTTTTTTCTTTTTTTTTCTTACTTTTTGTTATTAATATTTTGATATTAAACTTTTTTAGATAATATTATGTATTTCACTAAATTACTATAAAACAAAAAAAAAGATTGATGTCAAAAGTTTGGTTGTATTAAAAATGAAATACTGATTTAAATATTTATGGATCATTATATTCTTTGTTAATTGATTTGGTTAAAATGTTAAGAAAATGAAAACTTTAGGAGAATTAAATAATATTTAGAAAACTATATATTGTATGTTCATATGTCAAATTTCTAGAATACTTCTTGTTGATGTTGCTTAAGGAGAAGAGATTTTGTTCTTCTTTATTGATATAAAAAACTATGTGTATATGTCAAATTTCTAGAATACTTATTGATGAATGGTTTAAGGAGAAGAGATATCGTTCTTCTTTATTGATATAGATACTTACCAATACCAATGTAGGTAACTAATCTCCACTACAGTTCTTAGATTTGGTACGTAGAAAATAAAAAAATCATTATATGATACCATTTTCACAGGCAAGTGAAAATCTTGGCATGGCAATGACTAATGAGATCTATACTTTGGTCACGTCAGCAAAGGACTGGTTGTCTGAACACTATGGGCAAGATGATGGAGCTGACCATGCCGAAGAAGAAGCTGCCAAAGAGGATGAGGTATTGTTTTCTGCTCAGTATTTATTTAGATGTATTAACTGCAAAGCACCTGGAATCTTGCTTCAGAGATATAGGCTTCTGATTTTTCCATGAGCTATACTTCTTTTTTTTTTTCCTGTCTAAATATCTTGATACAGGTAATTATTCCTCATGGAGAACCTGTTACGCTGGAGACATTTGTGGCGTGGAGAGAGAGAGATTTGAAGCAGAGCTTGCACTTGAACAGCCAAGTGAGTAACTTTTTCTGCATACTCTTCTTTCCTTGCTCTTATACACCAATAAAATAATCATTTTTATTGGTTTCCGGGAGTTACTAATATTTAATATGTGCCCGTGAATCAACTTACAAGGCTGATGCCTGAGTCTGCTCTTACGGCACCTAAGGAGAAGACAGTGGTTCAAGAGTGGCAGAGTGGTAGTTCTCATTCTTGCTAACTGTTGTTGTTGATTTATCTTTATTGTGCTTTTTTTCAGAAAGGAGCAGTGAGTGCTCACTGCCAATCAAGAATCTGAGGAGGAAGATCATCAGTGGTTCTCAAGGATCATATTCGTTTATTTGATACAGATGATGAAGAAAGATATGTTTGAGCATTATTTGGCGGAGAAATCTGATGATTCAGCTCCCACATCAAGGGCATGAAGCTAGGGTAGGGAGCCTTAAATAATGATTGTTGAAGCTCTTTTCTTGATAGAGATCAAGATGCAAGAGACTGGCCTTAAATTAGGTAAGCATTCAATCACCATATACTCAGTTTTCCCAGCTTTGGTATGGTCAAGAGTACCTGGAAAGTTGCATTTGTCTATCCTACATTTCACCTTCACTCTCTGTTCATTTATAAGAACAATTTGTTATAAAATGCCGTTGATTTTTTAACTTTTTTGTTTAGTAACGGCAAAAATCAGATCTCAGAGTCGAGTCTTAAAAGACGAAATAGTTGAATCTATGAGTCAATGGTGTTCCATTCTTTATTACTTGTGAAGTTGGAGAACATATAAAGCAATGGAGAGCTATGTTTATAGCAGATGTATATTAGTGCTATCAATGTATATAGTTTCTAAATAGTGACATGGGTTGTATCTAAATTATGTTACATGGAGTCCAATAAGCCTTCTTCATTAAATTTTAAAG